GGAAGGATCTGAAGAACCAAAGGGCCTATGAGGCTGAAGCACAGGGAGAAGGGGGAGGGGGTGTGGGCGGCAGCACTAATCATGATTCCTAGTTTCTGTCTTTGATGCTCGGACATCCTGGAGGGGCTGCACCTCTCAGGGCTAGCCAGGCCCTAGAGATGGTAACCCATTAGGCTGCGAGCAATGCTTTCCTATGCAAACCAGACAATCCAGACTCCCTCTCTGCCTACCCTTGTCACCCCAGGGCTAGGTACCAGACCACGAGAGAGGTTCCTATGGCCCAGACCCCCTCAGATTATCCAGTGTTCCCAGGAGTACCCATCCTTCCTCTCTGCATCTCGCCCCATTCCACTCCAATGCTAGACCCACCCAAGGCAGAAAGCCCTCTTGGCTTGCCAGCCTGACCCCAGAGCCTTATGGTAACCGCACAGCCTGTCCCATCACTGGATCCCCTGCACCCAACCTCAGCTCTCAGATGACCCTGGGATCATTCCCAGAGTGCACCTGCACAGAGAGGTAAATACTCTTTCCCTGAGTCACACAGCTTATCAGGGTAGGGACCAGAGATGAGCTCATACCGAAAGGACTCCAAAGCCTGTAATTTCTTCACCAAGCCCAGATCTCTCGGGAACATAGAGGTTTGCATCCCAAGAATGGAGAGCTCACAGGTTGAGTCAGGCCTGTGAATTGTGGGCAATTAGCATGCCCGAGTTCAGGGCAGAGATGGGGCTGCACTGGCCACTCTCCTCCTGGAAGCAGCAGTCTGGGAATGGTCCTGCCACAGACTCGCTTCCTATTGCTGCTGTAACAAATTCTCCCAAATGTAGGGATGTAAGGCAACGCAAGGGTTTCAGTGACACTGCTTCAGAGGTGAGAAGTCTGACCTCATTTTTACTACACTAAAGGTAAGGTGTCAACAGGTTGGTCCCCCCGGGAAGCTCCGGACCGGAAGAGGCTCCACACTTGTGCCTCCACAGCCTGGAGGTCGCCTGCATCCCTTAGACATCATCTGGTTCCCTTCTGGCTCTGCCTCCTCCTGTCAGGACCCTTGTGAGTGCACTGGGCTGGCAAGATGATGCACTCATCTCCCTCCCAGACACAGCGAGGCACACAGGCTCGGGACCTGGGCCACCATCTGCAGTGATGAGGACACCACGGAGCAGGGGCCGGCAGCCAGCCTCACTCACACGCTTGTCAGAGGAGGAAGAGGAGTCCTAGTAGTTAGCAGCAGCATGAACATTGCTTAACTTCTCTGTGCCTCTAAAGATAATCACTATTGCTATTTCTTTAGGCTGCTATGGAAAGTAATGGGCTAAAATGTGTAATTCTCAGAACAGACCCACCCAGGGGATAGAGGCTCTCTCCACTTCCCAAATGAAGAGACTGAGGCCCAGGAACTCCAGGAGTCCTCTTCTCTTTGTCATTTCCAAATCCAGCATACCCAACTGCAAGGTCCAAGCGCTTTCCATCATGTAACTTCTCAGAGACTCGGTTTCCTGGTCTGCAAAACGGGAGCACTAAGGCACACCTTCAGCATTGAGTTCAAAGGAGACATTTACGGTACAGGCACCAGAGATTAGATCTCATGGAACCCAGATAGTAAACAGGAAGACACGGTGGTCATTTGCAAAGGAAGAATTTGAGGCCCAGGGAAGGAAAGCAGCCTGTTCAAGTTCACAGAGCAAGCCTATAGAATGAGAATCCAGCTCTGACCCCAAAGCCTAAGACTGGGAATGCAATGACCTTTATGCTGGAATCGGGCACATGTCAGAAAGAAAGACCCTGACCTTTCAGGTGTACTCTATCCCCTGAGGAGATCCTGATCCCAGGACAAGTCTGCCATGGGCCCAGATGCAAACTAGAAAAGGGCTCTTTCTCAGATGGCACCAGGGCACAGTGTGGCACGGGGTGCAGGCTGGTTCAGCCTTGCTCATCTCCTCATGGCCCCTGTTCAGTGCACAACTTACACAGCATCCTGTATCAGCTGCACCTAGAACGTCCCCAGACTCCTCCTCCTCCTCAAAGCAGCCTTACACTTGCTGTGACCACCACTTTAATTTGCTCCCGGTGGATGCAAGGCAGGAAAAGGAGCCAAACTTTGAAAACAGATGGGGCCAGTGCTTCTCTGCAAGCCTGTTTTAACAGTCCTGTCTGTGCCCACCAGCTATCCAAGACCACTCCCCAGATCTCCAGTTCCCAAGATAGCCACCCTTGGAGGCAGACCCCGACAGCCTCTTGTTTTCCGGAGCCTCAAGTGGATCCCCAGTGGCCCTGGAGATTCCGGCTGCTGCTTTCCAGGCTTCGGCTCCCTTCTTCTCTCCATCCTGGCCAGAAGACGGAATGCAAGGACAGCTCCCCCAGGACCTGCTCTACACTTGACAGCAGCCTCTCTGCAGACCAGCTCCTCTCTCAACCACAGTGACTCCTCGGACATTACACTAGTGGAATCTCTGGTCTAGAGATGTCACCAAGGTGAAAACCAGGCCCAATGAGGGACAGTGCCCTGGCTCAACACCATTCAGCATGTGGCCTTTCTGACCGTCTTTCCTGATCTATTACCTACAGTTTTCCAAAGCTTTATAGGATTCCATATGTGTAACACAGCCTGTACTGGTGGCTCAGAATGCCTGAGTGACCTAGAGACTCAGAAGTGGCCAGAGCCTGGGAATGGGGCAGATGCTGCAGATACTTACACTGGAGCTGCATTTTTGCCCAGAGAGAACATTTTAAAGTTAGACCCCAGCCTTTGGGGGCAGTGCAGGTTGGGGCAAGGTAAGAGCAGCCTTGCCACTGCCTGCACGTAGCAAGACCTTTGTCAGCAAAGAACAGGGCAGTGCTCTCTGAAGGTGCTTTGCTCACATCGCCCCTCAGGGGAGAAACATGTCAGTTCTTAACATTGCCCAGAATATAACAAGGGCAATTCTACAGGGTGTGAGGAGATTCCATGTGGGAGGGGGCTTCAGGAATGCCAACAGAGATTTGGAAGGAGCTCAAACTCCCCAGCCCCAGCAGAAGGACCAGCCTCCTGAGGGGAGGCCCTGCTTTATCAGCCACTTCAAGGCAGTGACATCTAGGCCACACAGAGCCCCCACCAGGGACCTACAGGGCACACGGAGTGGTCCTGGCTGATTTATGACCAAGGGAAGCATGTAAAGCACAGCAGTTAGAAGCAGACACTGTATTGTGGCTTTGGAGCAGCTGCATGACCTTGAGCAAGTCACCCAACCTTGCTGAGTTTCCGTTTCCTCACTTGTCCACAAGGAATGCAGATAGCAGTTGCCTCCCAGGTTGTGGGGGACACTGTATGGGACAGTACTCGAGAAGCTAAGCTCTAGCTTGGTGTCAGCAATAGAGGAAGAGCCAGGTGGTCAGGAGGACACGTTCTTATCAGGCTGATGGCCATCACAGGGGCCACTGCACTCATGGCTGCCACTGCAGTCCCACCCCACCTGTGCACACCTCAGGGCAAGACGCAGAGGACCAGCCCATGCCCAGTGCTGCTGTCTGCCATTGGAAGTGTCACTCTTCTCTCCAGGGACCCTCAGACAGCCCGGGGCTCCAGCCCCTCACTCAGGAGTCTGCCCTGAGTCAGGATCTTGCCAGAGCATGGAACAGGAGCAGCTGTCAACTCCCCTTGGGGACAGAGATCCTATGCCCTGTGAGTCTCCTTCCCCAGCTCTGCCTGAGTCAGAGGCTCCAGCTCAGGCGCATCCTTCCCCCTCTCTTCCACCAAGATGCTGCAACAAGCCTTAATCCACTTCTCACATCTGTCCCAAAAGACAGGGTGGTGACCAGCCTGTGTTAAAGAGAAGGAAAGTGAGGCCCGAAGAGGAAAGGAGGTTGGCTCAAGGACCCTGGTGGGTAGACCTCTTGGGATGAGTCTCAAAAAGTGACCTAACCCTTATTCTATCATTTATCTTTTTTCTGCCAAATCAAGAAAGTCTGATAGCTTAGATAATTCCCCACCACTGAAAGTGCTGTCTCAGTCCCAGTGGCCCCAGTAACCTGTTACCACCGCCTCACTCCGGGTCCCCAAGGAAGCCAAGTCCTCCTGAACTCCCCTTTGTCTCAGTGGACCAGGACATTGGTAAATGACACCTCCTCTTCACTTTCAACTCTGTGAGCGCTTAGTGTCTCACTGAGCGAGCGAAGCAACTTCTCAGGTTAGAGGCGGCTTCTGAGCCTGGTGCCTCTCACAATGCCCCACGGCGGGGGGCGGGCACAGGTGAGGCACCCGTGGGGACCTCTAACACCATTTTCATCCAGACTCCTGACCCTCAGCTTGCAGCTTTTGATCTTCAGAGATGATTGGTTTGGACGTGCAGAAAGAGCGAGAGCTCCGGATTCTGACAAGCCAGAGTCCTCTCCTCCCTTGTCCCTTGCTGTGTGACTCTGAGCATGCCACTTCTCTCAGCCTTGGTTTTCACCTCTGGAGAATGAGGGTAGATCATCTTCTCCTCTGAGGGCCACAATGAGGATTTTAAAAGGTGATGCACCTAAGGTACAGCCTCACCCTAAGTAAGCACACATTTAACCTTCGCTGTCCCTGCACCTAAGGAGCCAGTGTGAGGAAGGCCAGTTACTGTGTACTGGGCTTGGTTCTAAGGGATTACATATGTTGCTTCATTTATATTCACCACGAGGCTGTGGATTGATACTATCATTTCCCCCATTCTTACATATGAGTAAATTAAAGTTCAGAGAGGTCAAGTGACTTGCTTCAGGTCGTACAACTTGACAGCCTCATTCTGACCGGGGAGAGAAAGGTGCAACGCAGCGCTAAATACATAGTACTTAGAGCTCAGAACAAGTCAGTTCCTGGACGTGGGAAGATCCCGAAGGCGAGGTGGGACACAGGGTAGCAAGGCATCAGGAAGGAGAGCCTGGCGCTCCCAGAGGCAGGTTAGAGGGGAGGGAGCTCTCGATCCAGGAAACCTGCGGTGCCCTGCCGGAGGAAAGGGTCCGGCCACGGCGGCAGGGCGCAGGCCGGGAGGCGTTACCTTGGGCGGCAGGGCGAAGACCACCGGCAGCAGAGCCAGCGGCGCCAGCAGCAACACCAGCAGGCGCCGCGCGCTCCACACCTTCTTGGTCAGCGCCGCGAGCGCTGCCATCCGCGCGATCCCGGGCGCCGGGCACCCGGTACTGCCCGCTCGCGGCCGGCGGGGGCTTAAAGCCGGGGGAGGGCCTGGGAGGGGACTGGGCTCCGGGACCCGCCCTCCTCCACTCCTCCCCGGGACTGGGAGGCCGGCGGTCTCCTCCCTAGACCGCGGTGGGAAAGTCAGGCGAGGTCCGGGGCGCAGCGACCCAGCCCGCAGGGAGCGCGGCCTTGGGTTTAAGCATCGCCGCTTCCGGCTCGGTGTCCTGGGACCGCTGGCTTAACCTTTCCTCATCCCTGTTTACTCGCTTGTGAAACGGACGATAAGGACCTTGTGGGGATTAAGGCGCTTATTAGTATTACCTGAGTTCAAATCCTGGCTCTGCCACGTAGTGCGTGGCCTTGAGCAACCAATGGAGCTCTGGGCCCCAGGGAGCTCGTGGTGAAAGCGGGAGCGATTTTAACCCTAGGCCCTGCCAGCCATGAGGTTAGTAAATGAGGCGAGGCACGTTAAGATGCTTACGCAGTGCCTGGCAGAGCAAGTGCTTAGTGGCGGAGTGGTTACTGCCCTTGATACTGTTGTTCTGATTTCCCCCCAAACTGTGGGCTGGAGTTCCTTCCCCCTGGACAAAGGTGCGGGAGAGCCACCCCTGGGAGACGTGGTTCTCTCATGATTAGCTTTTTTTTCTTCTTCTTCTTCATGATTAGCTTTTAAAGAAACTGTCAAGCTGTCTCCTGAAGTGATTGCGCTGTTTTGCATCTCCGTTAGCAGTGTGTAAATAATCCAGTTTCTCCGTGTCCACGGCGCACTCAGTGTGGCCAGTAGTTCTCAGTTCAGTCATTCTGATGGGGCTCTGATGTCTCCCTGGCTTTAATTTATATTTTCCTCATGGCTATGATGTTTAACATCTTTTCATGCCCGCATTTGCCATCTGTGTATCTCTCTGGGTGACCTCCTGTTGTCCTTGACTGTTTTCTAATTGGCTTATTTGGTGGTGAGTTTTCAGGCTTCTTCATATATTCTAGATGCTCAACAGTCCTTTCTCAGATATACGGCTTGCATTTAGTTCTCTCAGTCTGGAGCTTGTCTCTTCTTCCTCTCCACAGGCTTCCCAGAGCAAACATTTTAATTCTGAAGTGCTCACAATGAAATTTCCCTTTGGACCATGGCTTCTGTGTCAGACTCTTCACACAGCCTTGCATACCAGAATTTTTCACATTTTTTTCTAGAACTTTCTGTAACTTGCCCCTATTCTATAAAAACTTCCCATTACCCCATCTTCCAGCCCCTGGTAGCGTCATCCTACTTTCTGGCTCTATGAATTTGACTGATCTAGGTACCTTATTATAATTGGAATCATGGAATCTTTGTCCTTTTGTGACGGGCTCATTTCACTTAGTGTGTCTTTAAGGTTCATCCATGTTGTATCTTGTATGAGAATTTCTTTCCTTCTAAGGCTGAATAGGATTCCATGGTATACATAGACCATGTTTTCTTTATCCATTCATTTGCTGATAGATATTAAGTTATTTGCACCTTTTGACAATTGTGAACAATGCTGCTATGAACATGGGTGTGTGAATATGTCTGAGTCTCTGTCTACTAGAAGTGGAACTGATGGGTCATAATTCAATGTTTAAAATTTATTTTTATATCTTTATTTATATATTTAGGAATGGCCATACCATTTTCCACCCACACCATACCATTTTACATTCCATTCCACTTACATTACAGACCACAAGGGCTCCAATTTCACCACCACCTCATCAACATCTATTTTCTGGGTTTTTTCATAATTGCCGTACTAAACGGTATGAAATGATATCTCACAGTGATTGATGCTGAACATCTTCTCATGTGCTTATTGGCCATCTATATAGCTTCTTTGGAGAAAGTCCTTTGTACCACTTGTATGGTAGGTTTTTGTTGTTTGTATATATATATATGCATCTTATTATATATATTATCACATACATAAATAGATAGATGTTATCATATACATAACTTACTATAGCCTACTAGTATTGTCTTTTTTATTTTTTTGGTATTGAGAATCCAACTCAAGACCTTGCGCTTGCCAGGCAGGCGTGGCACCACTGAGCTACATCCTTGACCCCTGGTATTGTCATTTTACCAGTTTCAATGAAATACTGAAACTTTACTTACCTTTATGTCCCTTTGCCTTATCCTACTTACAATACTGTTTTCAATATATCTTCAACATACATTTGGAACCACATCTGACAATTTTTAAAATATTTTTTCCATTAAGTTTATTGGTACATTTTAGATGTACAACCCAGTTACATTCGTCACTGGGATCTTGTAACTTTACAGGATGTATCTTGGTTCTTGTTTTTTCCCCCTTCCCCTGCCCCCCTTCACCCCGTCCACCCTTCCCTATTTACAAAGACTTTGTTTCCACTTTTTCCTTTTCTCATATTTTTTCCTTTTCCCTTCTTTCCTTTCCTCTACCCCTCCCACTTCCCCTACCCCTTTGGATCTTTTCTTCCTCTTACACAATATCAATTATACATTTTTTAAAAAAATTACAATATCAAGATTTAGAGGACATTACCACAGATTTTACAGAATTTAAAA